CTTTTGTTCTCTTCTTCCCCACTATTGTGAGCTTCTGATTCGGATTCTTTGGCTTTTCTCTTTTTCACAGGTGGACGAGCGGCTGGTTTCAGCTAAAAGAAATCTAGAATATTTTTTTCCCCTAATGTTGCGTTTTATACCTTCTCAGCCTTTGGTTTTGCAGCTTTCTTTGGTTTCTCTTTTTCTCTCAAACGTTCTTCCTCCAAACTTTGTCGCAATGCACGTTCAAGCTCGTGTCGATCAAAGCTGCAAAAAAAGATAAACAATAAAAGTGAGTGCGATCTCAAAGGCATCTGAAAATTTTGAGTCCATGTAGTCATATAAACTTCTTAATTGAATAAATTTGTTTGTATCTAGTAGAGTCTTTAAAACATATACAGAATGTAGACTTTATAGCAACGTTATTATAACATCCTGTCAATCGTCATTTATTACCCAAAACCGCAGATCTTCAGTTTCAATCTTAATGCGCCAGCCTACTAGCAGCTGTTCAAAGGATAAAAAGGGCATAGAAAGCTAACGGACATCAGACACGTTGTTACAAGTGTAAGGTGATAATAAGGAAGACAGGAGAATGCTTGGAAAGATCGAAATAAAGAGTACTAACCTGCTATATCTCAGAGGCGGGAGAACAAGATGTGTCAAGATGTCGAAAAACTAATATTACTGAAAACCTTCAGGACAGGAGTTTTGCTTTTCGCAAATTAATTATTTGAATTTTGAAAACGTAATCCTTGAAACCTATAGAACAAGTTATATTTCTCAAATTCTTGGATATGATTTAGGACAAAAAGAGTGCAAGTGGTAATAAATAGGACAAAAAAAAGAGAAAGCGTTTCTGTGAAATTCTACTCTCACTTCAACAAAGATCAAGTGAAGGAAAGACACGTCCAAATTAATAACATCATCATGAAATGAGGAATTAATCAACATCAAATGATTATCGCCATTGACAAACTGCTGTTGAACGATTTCTTTTGCGGAAAATCACTATAAAGCCAAGGAATTGTGAAAGACTTCATCAACGAATATTAACAATATTATTCTATATTACTGAGCCAGTCGTAAGGCTACATGGCGGGAAGATGTTGCCCTTGCCGAGACGGACGTTTTTTCCGAAAATGCAGATCTATGCGTTATTAGAAAGTGAGACTCATACACGCATCAAATCTCCTCGCTTCAGCTTGTTCTTTGTACCTCAAGGAAATAATGCGCTAACAGATCCTTTAACATCCTGCCTTAAGACCCTACTCACTGTGACTCATCTCAGGAAAATACTTGCGCTCACCCTTCTTCTGATGTGAGGTCGATTCGTTGGCGCTTGCTCCGCCTTGGCTCACCAGGGTGTTCGTCGGTACTCGTACCACCGCGCATGCACGCCTTTAGAAAAAAGTAGGATATATGGGTAATGAGCGTCCCAAATTTGCGGATTGCTCCTTCTTTTTATCGAAAGCCACAAAACGTATGCATGAGCTAAGAATTTGCCTTGGATTGAATACCATACGCTTTGAGTGACCCGCAACGAAAGAGGATTTATTTAGAAAGGAAGAAATTACGATGAACAACACACAAAAAAAAAACGTATTCATAGAGCATAGTATTAATTATATTAATTAGTAGAAGTATATATAGCACAGCACACAATACTTGAGGAGAGGAGACCCTGAAAGACACATATTACAATTTATTTCCACT